CCCCAAAACCCCAAAACCCCAAAACCCCAAAACCCCAAAACCCCACAGCGAAACCATAGAGAGTTTTTCTAGAAAGTTATTAGATTATTTAGCAGCCAGATTAATCATTATTTATAATAAGGGTTGATTAAGAGTTTTCTAAATTTTGCAGCTATCTTGATAAAAATATGAACATTTAAAAACTTGCCACAAACAACACAAAGAACACACTGGTACTTATGCAATCCAAACAACTATTTAAGAGTAACAAGAATGTATCTGGTCTTTTAGAGGTAGGTATAAAATAAAGGGAATACCATAATCAAATCCCTCTCAAATGAAATATTTAGACAGCCATATTAATTAACATTATAGAATCAAATGAGAAGATTCTCATTGAACTAGCAAAGACCAAACTAGCTTTTTGAGGAGGAGAAATTAAAGGAGTAGGTGACTCTAAATCAGCTTGAAAAGAGAGCTAAGTATGATAGAATCTACTAGAGATTCTTTGACGACAACAGTATGTTCTCAAAGTTCATGGGTCCCAGATCTGATAGCAATGACGATACTGCTGGTAGATCGCCTATGAGTACTTATAATCTCAGCAACTAGATTAGCAACAATAAGTTCAAAATGCAACAAGCTTCAAGAGATCTTTAAAAATATATCGACCAACAACATATCTTAAACAAGGGTAAATTGATTATTCCGTTGGCGCTTGGTGAATTATACAAGGACCAATTAATCGGAAAATGGCTCGGAGGAAAGAAGTAAATATCAATGTATTTTCAATATAAATTTAGAGAAACCAAATCTGAAGATGAGGTAGAGCCAAAGAAGAAAGAAGAAGGTGGTCTAGAGACTAAGGACAAGAAGACTGAGGAAGAATTACAAGAGGAAGATGATGACAAGCATTTCGATGATTGGCAAGGGGTTCAAAGGCAAGGTTAGAAATCTGGCAGTGACTCTGAAAATGATGAAGATGAAGAGGACGATGAGAATAATGATGATGATATGGATGGTGGTGTCATGATGCCAATCCCTGTTTGAAGGGACAGAATTGATGGACACTCCATTGGATGAATGTGTATAAATTTAATAAGGATTATCTGCGAAGATAAGTGGTTTCAAACTTAAGGAACCACAATGAAAATTTGTGGTCATCTTAAATTCATTACTTATTTGACTCAGGATATCTAAATGATCACACTCTTCGCTAGATAATCTATAAAAGATTTTAAACTTAAATTAAAAGTTAATTAAATTTATCTCTTTTATTCTTATTATTTTCCAAAATCTTGCGGTTCATTCATTTTCAACATCATTCTTTAAAAAGGAGGGTGCATAATTGGGATCTTCTGATTCCTTACAGACAGAACTGATACACTATGCCCACTCATCTGAAGTGTAATCAGTCTTTGTTGCGAAAAGAAGTCTTCTGTCCTCTAATATCCACATTTCTTCTCTATTTGTCCAAGCACCGTAATGAGTATTTAAGGTATTCATTGCTGCATGTTGCAAAGGCTCTTCAAGTAGATTTTCTTCTTCTTTCATGTACTTCTCTTTTAAATCTAACTATATGCCTTTCTTTGAAGGTGAGAACTGCTTTTTCTTGCCTTCATTTCTCTCTAAAAATTGGATGCCTGTGTTGATTCTCTTTCCATCTGGAGAGAAATGCTTCTCATAAATAGATGAGAGATAATACTTCACAAAGTCTTCTTTTAAGAACAACTCAAATTAATGCTTAGCCAACTCCTAGCCTTTCAGATCTTTCTTCTTAATTGGCAAAGTATAGTTTACTATTTCACATGCCTTTACACCTAGCATCGGAATAGCTAATAAAGGTTTGATTATAGGACAATCCTTGGCAGGTTTACTCACAAAATACCTAAAAGCCTTTGCTGTTACTTGAATCCATCTGTCAATAAACTGAGCCTAGAATCCAGGCTTATACTTCTAAACTTCACCTTCATAGAGTACAGGATCATTTGGATCTATCAAATCGATCTCAAGATATGGGTTAGTAGGTTTTATCTTCAAAGGTTTACCTCCTGTACCATACTCTCCGAATAATTTGACATCAACATAGTCTACAATCTTTTTTTCCTCTAAGAGTTGATCCTTGTTTCTCTAATTTACTTTACTTTAATCAGTGCCTTTATCTTCATTATGATCATTTGTCAAAGCATTTGATAGTTGACTTATCTCCTCTAAAAGAGCAGTATCTATAGTCTCTGGAGATTAAATATCTTATTTCTTAGATTTTTCATCGAGTATCTCCATGTTGACATTACATTTATGAGTCTTGTAATAATCCTAGCAGTCTAGTTTAAGTAGCTAATCCTGTTTCATTAACTTAGGGCACTTATGAGGGTATTTCAAAATGTGGTGAGTCTTGATATACTTATCTAACTCTGAATCTTTTTTGGCATCCTCCTCTGCTGTGCAGCATCCACAAGTGTTTCCCATAGTTATGTAAGTTAAGATTTAATTAAAATAAATATGCTTTTAAATTTGATATAATCTTTTTATTTCCCGACTCTAACATGCGGGGTTTTGGGGTTTTGGGGTTTTGGGGTTTTGGGGTTTTGGGG